GCGAAGTAGAAGGCTTCTAAAAACGCCTCAGAGATTCAAATGGAAGAATATGTCTCACCCCAACATGATAAGGGAGGATTTATAGGGAGGGAGACGATCTCTCTCATCTAATGCTCGAAGCATGTGAGTTAGAAATTTATTTATAAACATTATATATGCTTTAAATAAAAAAAAAATAAACGATGATACTTAACATATTTAAGATAAAAGTCAATTAATTTGGTATTTATCCTTTCAAATATTGTCATATCTTATCCAACAATACTAACTTGTTGAGCCTTGGATCACTTCCTAACCCCTAACAACTTGTACATAGTAAATACTTCAATTAATGGATATATTCGAAAGAATTTTTTTGGGGCTAATATGAGACTGTCATCCGCAAATAAAGACCCAAAAGTAATATTTAAAGGTAAATGTATGCGATTTCTCGGCATAAATTTCCCATAATGGCCCTGTTAGCGTTTAACGTATATACCGCTCGATCATTTCATCATCGCGCAAAATATTATTCCCAAAATGTCCACGGAGTCGGAGGAGAGGCCGAACCCCGCCGCCGCGGACGACGGCATCGAGGAAGACGACGATCCTCCCTTGCTGAGCTCCCAAGCTCTGGAAGCTCTCAGGGAGTTCCTCAGCGAGCAGTCCTCCCTGGGCGGCGCGGGCGGAGGACGAGTAGATGGCGGAGACGACGACCAGGACGAGGTGCGGTTGGTGGCGGAGGACTGGAGATTGAGCCAGTTTTGGTACGACCGGGAGACGGCAGAGACGGTCGCGGAGGAGATCAGGACTCTTTATCGCTCAACCTCTTCTCCCATCGCCTGCATCGCTTGTCCAACACTCTACGCGTATCTAAAGGTCCGATGCCCTTTTCTGATGCCGGTGAAATATATGCTCAAAATTTGATTTTTTCTTTTGCTGGATATTGGTTCTTTACGGCGAGGAGTAGATTCGTACTACTGTGGGACTTTGTAGGATGGGCAGTGTCTTTAGATTCATGTAGAAGGATAGGCAGTTAATTATGTTAGGGTTTTTACTATCTGACAAAACCTCAGTTTGATTCGAAGGTCGAGAGAGCACCTTGAGGGATCTTAATTAGCATCCCAATTGAGTCTCTGCTCTCTGTGGGATGAAAAAGGAAGCTTTATCTGCTATCTGCAACAAAGCAAAAGGTTCAAGTTAGCGTCTTGTGGCATTAGAAAGCAAGGATTGTTGAGGTGGTTGTATGTGACGTGCATCATTGTAACCTAAGGAATAAGGTAAGGCATGTGATGCAAAGGTCATTCTGCTAGTATGAAATAGATTGGATGGTACATGAGAGGATGTAATGGGATGATACAGATTGGATCAAATGCTTGCTTATAGGATCTGAACAATTTGAATATATACACCATAGATGTTTTACTGGTTGGTTGCCATAAAAGGCTTCTCTGTGATGGTCGGGGAAAACCAATTCTGATATGGATGAGTTTGGACTGAGGTGCTTGACAACCACTAACCTGGAGGAATAATGTAGGCTTGTAGTTGACAACTTAACTGGAGATTCTTGCTTCCAGAACACCTCTATAATTGATCATATTACATGGTTAGGTTTTTGGTAGTAAAGGATTAATTAATTAGTCGTAAGACATGGGTTGTAGGAAGAAGAACACAATTGAGAATGGCTTGTAGGAAGAAGAACACAATTGAGAATGGCTACCGAACTTGATACCAGCAATGTTTACAGGTTGCAAATTACCTCAAGGTTGATAACAGCAGAACTTTTAGTTGGTGTACAAGGGAAACCTATGTGATTTTAGCAACCTGTTGGATTGACATACATGATAGCTATTGTTCGGACTAATTTTTTTTCCCTTTGCTTCCCCCCCATGCTTAATTCTAGTGTATGTAAGTTGTATTTCCCTTGCTTAGCTAGAGGCACAATGGACTGAAACTTGAGACAGTTACGCGTAAAGAGATCTCAATGAGCATAACTTGGTCATGGTAGATTGATAACCAGTTATAGTAAAAGGACTAAACAACGGTGTTATTGGCGTTATTGGGTAAAAGCTCGTTGCATGATGTTTACTCCTAAAGAATGTGGTAGAAACCTAGAAGCCCATGGAAAATATTGTTTTCCGCAAGTTCCATGTCTCACTGTTCTTTCAGGAAAACTTCTCTTAGAAAAATAACTTCCAGATGGAAGGATACTTTGCGCTTTTATATTGCTGTAGCTATATGTCTGTAGAAGGGCGTAACTGTGTTCATGCTATGAGTTTTAGCAGGAGTTTTTCGGCCTGGCAACCTTTTCCAAAAGTTCTCTCTTATATCCTTCTCGTAAAGTCGGATCAGAGGAATTGCTTTTTAATGCAGGAAGATAATCATGAGCTGCAAAATCAATTCTATCATGTTTTTACAGAGTATGTTAGAATCCTGCGTTGTTGCCTTTAGATGTCAACATGCCTGAAACAGTTTACTCACTCTTGCTAAGTTCATTAACTCTGTTTCTGAAACAGTCAAGTCCTTATTTCACTGAATTTGTGTGTAGGATTTTGATATCTATTTTAGCAAAATAAATTCTTTAGTCGGAAGCACACCATGATCCATAAAATATTGACGTTTCTCCTTTTATTCTCATGATATAGCAACAACAATAACAACAAAATCATAAATCCTAATTATTTAAGATTGACTACATGGATCTTTTATCACTATTGAGATATGTAAAAAATTATGTGTAGTTAAATTCTAAGTACTTAAATTTTTATTATTATTTTTTTAGATCTTCCTTTGTCTTTCTTTTCATTTTCATGTTGATACGTATTTTGCTTGTTTCCTCAGAAGCTTGATCCTAGCGTTCCAGTAAAATTACTCGAGTACGATAAACGCTTTGAACAGTATGGTGATGATTTTATTTACTACGACTACAATCAACCGGAGGAATTGCTGCCATCACTTAAACACAACTACCAAGTTATTATCGCAGATCCCCCTTATCTGGTAAGTCGAACACCGAGTTGGTGCTTTGAGTGAAGCTTCATAGTCCAGGACACATGAAGCCTGAGAAAAATTACGCTTCATCATTGATTTCACCATTTCTAAATTTTTGTTGCCCATGTTCTTGATGATCCACATTATCATCTTCTTCTTTGGCATTATGTTGATACTCATATATATTGACAAAAAAAAAGCCTGTCTTTAAGCACAAGCTTTTAAAAGCCATTATCACCATTTTATCTTTGCAATGATCTCTGTCTTTATAGAGTTTAAGCTGCAATAGTTTGTCGAGTATCCTTCCTTTAAACTTTTGCTTGCAGAGCAAGGAATGCTTGGAGAAAGTAGCCCATACGATTTCTCTTTTGGCCCACCCACAAGATTCATATTTGCTGTTGCTCACTGGTACTTTTCGTCCATCTGTTACTCGAATTTATTTTGTTATTTCAACACCATGTCTTGTTTCATTAAAATCCAAGACGATTGCATGCGTTCTTTTGAGCAGGAGAGGTGCAAAAGGAGAGAGCTGCAGAGCTATTGAACGTCCATCCCTGCGGCTTCAGGCCTCAGCACACCAACAAGCTCGGGAACGAGTTCCGGCTCTTCACAAACTATGATCCTGCAGGGAGATTGGGTGGCTGGGAGAGAGAGGTTTAAGAGCATTTCTTGCATTTTGTTTGTGATGCATATGTGTCCTCAGAACTCAACTTCCGATTGATGATGAATGTTTTGTTGCTAATCCGATGGAATTACTTTCTGGATTTGAGTGCTACTGTGATGATGCAGTTTTCATTGATCCATGGATTTAAAGCTTTCAACTCACAGACACCAGGAAAAAGTTTGCAGCATTAGCACACATCTTTCATCGTCTCAGCAGAGCGATCAGTGACTCGTCTTGGGCGGCTTCACGATGAGCACAGGGCAGTTGGCATGATGAGCACAGTAGTCGCTGACGCTCCCCAGGATTGCCCTGCGTGCAACATCGGACTCTGAACCACCAGATTCATTTCTAAGGGGCATTTGATCGAACACGTTCTCTCTTTGAGCGACTCACCGCCTTATCTTACTCAGGCCGCGGCTTCCTACCACGAGGAGGTCGGTCTGCATCTGTTCCGCAGCCTGGCATATCGTCTCCTTCGGATCCCCGGCGACGACGACTGCTTCAGCTTCAACCTGATGCGTGCAGAACACCATGGATGCCGGTCACTTCCTTCATCGAATAATCAATGAATGTCTTACCAGCCTTCGTCTGCAAATTCCCTTCGCTCGCTCGATTACATCGCGTGAGTTCTGCTCTTGAGCTTTCTTCACGGAGTCTATCACCGACGACGTCGCATAAACGGCTGCGACAAACCAAAGCGAAACTCTAATTTGGGTCTCTCCAAGTAATGCCACTTAGGGAAACGTAGCGATATATGCAATTTGACCTGGTCCGATCGGATGCATGATGAACTGCTGTAGAGGCTGCTGCGCGTGGACGAGGACGAGTCTGCCGAGCGGTTGCGGTTTGTTGGGCGCGCCTCCGACGGCGGCGACGAAGAGATTGTCGAGCGCCCAAGACAACGCGTAAAGGCTCCCTTCGCTCTCGTCCACAGCCACCAACACCGTCATCTTCTCGCGGCCCTCTGTCGCCACCGGTTCCTTGGTCTCCTCCATCCTGCCTCCCTTCCTCGGCTCTCTGAGCTTTTGTATCTACCCCCTTTGTAGCGCCACCGGTGAGACGTGTCGGGCGCTTCTCTCCGAGCTGACAGCATTTGTAAGTGACGTTTTGGAACCTAGCATCGGATTGAGATCAATGGCGGCACTCGTCGGCCTCCCGGCGACGTGGCGGGACGAAACGTGATTACGCGGCGTCCATGCAGAAAGCGATTCCAGAGACTTCCGGTCTCGCCAGCCGCCAACATGCTTTGAGATCCACTACCGCCATGCTTTAAGATTCGAACCGTTTACAACACAATCTACAGAAATGTATGCTTACCCGTAGCTTTGCGTCTGTTACTATCATCCACAATATATTATGCTGGCCATTTGTTTACATCACGAAATTAATCACTTGGCGTTACATTTACATCCTATTTATGAAATTAACCAACCAAAGAGAATTGTTAAAGCTTATAAATATGTTTTGGTACAATATCTCAAGTTATGTTGAGGGCATCACTAACTAAGCTTCAGACAAGTATCTTACAATTTTTAGAACATTGTGAAGCTTGTGTTGCATAAAAGCTTGAGGCAAAATTTCAAGGTGGCGACCATTTTCCAGCTCTGAACTCCTTGTAGAACTCAGATTTCTTCGAAACCACAAAGAAGACTGGACAAGGCAAACAACACTTTTTAAGAAGTATGTCCATAAGAAAAAACTTTGAGCATAAATGGTGAGAATAGAAATGAAAAAAACAGAGCCTCTAATAGACAGCAAAAAAAAAAAAACGAAACATACCTGGGATAGCCGGGATGATATAATCAGAACGCCGCAAAATGTCGAGAAGCGTCTTCTTCTCATTTATATGAATCCATTTACCATAATTGGTACCTACATATATTAAATCAGAAGCATAAATATACCACAATTGGAAAAAAAATACAAATATACTGAGATAAAATTCTTCTGGAAACAGAATAGGCCAAATTTGTTCTTAAATAACAATCAAGTAAAATAGACACATATGTCTAATTTTTCTCTCGGGTTTGTGCTTATTTTGTAATCACCAATGTCCTGTCATAGATTTCCATCATCATCTATTCTAATTTGTCATCGTTTTTACAACACCCTTAGATCACAGAATTTTCCACTAGCTGAATTTGCTCTTCAGAAATTTATGCTATATCACACTGACTTTTCCATAGAAAAAAAAGGGAAAAAACATTATAAGATGAATCTATACAGGCAACAACTTGAAACATGTCTTTCTTTACAGTGGACTAGGAAGCTCTTGTTGCTACCAAAACATTACTGAAAAATGGCTTCGGTCGGATGCTTACATTTCAGTCAGATGTTACGAGATTAGTGATATCCATTCTTCCATAACTTCTAATAGCCTACTGCTATAACTGGTCATATTCAATTTAATAAGCTTATAACAGGTGAAACATATGTTCACTTGAAGCTCAAATATGAAAAATATGTTAACTTGAAGCTCAATGGAGTTGCGATGAGCTATCCTTCTTCCAGTAGGAGACAAGAGGTGTGAATCAAACAGAGCCAAAGGAAAAGAACAGCACAACAAAGAGAATAGAGACAATATATAAGAAACAAAGAGGTCTAAAGCCTTCTGATCTATCCATTTCCTTTGTTCTTACCTATTTGGAAACCTTACACAGTGGGGATCATCAGAATGTGATGACACATGACATAACATGACCAAACAGTAAATCATCTATCCCACACTCCCCTCAACTCGGCTTTATTTTATGGCTCCAGCTTAGTGAAACATTCCAATGGCTGCTACACTGTATTTATTAAACAAAAACTTTTTGGAAAATACAATAATGTTCCTTATGAAGTCATGTTCACAAAATTTTTTGTATCACATACCAAATTAAATCAGAGAGCTTCTTTGTTTTCGTATAACATACAATGAATGATAATTATTCACAAAGAGATCATGTCTAGGCAAACTCTAAGGAACCAACATTTCCGTGGTAAACATAGCAAAAATAAGAAAACAGTTTATTTCCATATTAGGAACAAATATGGGAGGGCTCTGACATGAACTGTGAAATATGTACATGAGTAAATTTGTATGCAAAATCATTTCACCAAAATGAAATACAATTTAGATTCATGTAAATCACCTATTATCATATTGACTGAAAACATAAGACACATTCAGAAAGTTCCATTAGTAGTTATGACAATTCTCTTCAATATCATTCTACATAATTTGCAAAAGAGATTTTGCTATTTCTATATGAACAAAAAACAGCCCATTTTAACTGATGTTGGATAAGAAAAGAAATATAATCTTGAAAAGACCAGCAAGCACATGTGATAAACGAGTCCATTGTTTTCCCTAGGTTCTTTTCATATGTCAAGATACTTCTAGTGCAGAGAAATAGACAAAATTACAGATATGCATAGAAGCGAGATAGCATACTTAAATGAGAGACTGAACTATCCAGATCTTTTCCTGAATCCTTCTCTTCATCAAAGAAGCCTTCTGGAACAGACTTCACTGTGCCATCTAGCAGATACTTAAGGACTTCCTTATTCGATAAGAGAATCCCGGTACCAGCCTGACAAATCAATGAAAACGAGTAATTCATGGGGAGGAGAAAAATTTTAGTGAATTAATGCTCAGCAAAAAATCTTCTAGAAAAAAGTTAATAACTGACTAGGACTTGCAAAAATAAATTTCAAGAGCACAAATAATTTATAGCTAAAATAGGACCTAAATGTCAACATAACTAGCATGCCCTTTTTAGTTGGATTTACTCTTCTTCAGAGAGTATCTCAGAATTTTGCTTAACATCTATTTTATAAGATGAGACTACTACTGTTTGGATTGGATACTGAAATATTCATCAAGCCATCTGTGGATAGAAATTTCAATTAAAATTTTCTTCATACCTGGACTATTCCAGGCTTCACAACATAATGCTTAATGCCTTAACCATAGAGTTCCAGGTGAAAAAGACTCTTATAATGCATCAGCTTGTACAAAATGTGAAACTAAACTAGCTTGTTAAATATGTTGGAAGTGAAGATACCGGTGTTAGATGGGCATGTCAGATCAATAAACTAGGGATGAACTCTCATATGCTATTCCTATTCAACTAAACGGTTACCTCTAGTTTTCTTTAACTTCAAATACAGGCCTGCATTACTTTGCAAAAATGCAAAGAACAAAGCAATGATTTGGCCATCAAGAAAACATTCAACAATTGGATATATGTCAACTGAAATGTGATAACCGTATGCCATATAGTTCACAAACAAGAAACTACAGAATCAAAATTCTCAAAAACACAAATTATAGTTCAAACCTGATAATACAATTCAACAGCTTCCCTTGTATAAGCATGATACTCATCCCATGGTAGTGGCTGGGAATCTTCTGAAAACATGTTACGAAAGCTAAGGACATTACAAAATCAGCAGCTTTTTTCATAATAATATTGTCATGACAAACAACTCAGGTGAATTAACGTCAAGATAAGGATATTATGTCAAGATGCGATGAGAACATGTCCGTTTCGCAGAAGTCCTCAATGAAATCACTTGACATGACCTCTGCATAAAGAAGAAGAACCGGCCAATGAAGAATCCCACTTTTATCTAGTACTGGTTTTCTAATTCCAGTGAGTTCCTGGTACAGGCCCTTCCCAAGCTTCAATCCTCTATTCTCCATTGCAGATGAAAGCTCCTGAACAAATTCAATAGATTATGTGGATAATAAAATGCATGTATTGAAGAAAGTTATGATTTTTGTCCAGATAACTGACCTTAGCTGAAGCAACAGCTTGTAATACTTGAGCCTTTTGATGTTCATCTTCTTTTCTTCGCAAGTCAATCTGCATAAGCAACTTCTTCAGCTCGTCATTAGAGGGAACTTGTTCAAGTCCCCTTTGGCAAAGTGATGCTGCTTCAGCCAACAAATTCAAAGAGAAGGCAGCTTTGGCTGCCCGATAATATGCCTAGTCCATAATTCACACCATTAGAATCTTTAGCTGATCTACTCGAACCAGAAGATTGATAATCAAAATAAAGTAAGCAGAAAAGCAAGAAACCACACTTAACATGACAATCTCAATAAGAATCAAAATGCACGTCAGCATCAGCAAGCTTGAGTCAAGAACCAACCTTGATATTTGTCGAACAGAATTTAATTGCTTCCTCAGAATCACTTAAAGCTCGCCTATAATTTCCCAAAAGCAAATTTACGTGGGCACGATTAGCAAAGAGGACCGAGTGATCTGAGTCGCTCAGAGCTTTCTGGTTAATCGCTCTTGTATAACAATCAATTGCATCGTTATAATGCTTTTTACCCATCTTGACGAATTGGTTACCTTGTTCCTGAAAATTGCATTTCCTTTAGTTGTTGATAATGAAAATTGAAAGCCAAGAGCACAGCAATTCCATAATGCATTTTGAAAGAACCGGAAACAGAACTTTTATCAACCCATCAAAAGGACTTGAGATATGTGCACCTTTAATCTGTCAGAAAAAAAATTGTGCAATTTTAGAATTTTGAGCCTTTACATGTTTGAACCGTGTATGTGCATCTTTATTTTTTTAGATCTCCTGTCAACCAAGCCTTTTAAAAGGTTCTATCTTGTGCATGAACTGTCAAGAAAGAAAATCAATAAGAAACTAGTAACATGTAAGATGAATATGAAATATCTGTATCTTGTGATTGATACTTTAAATATCTGTATAATAGCCCATAATTACTACATGTGCAGCTGAAAAGGCCTAATATACAACCAGTATAGCTGAAAGTAATGACCTAGTTACATGTTGAAGAGTAGAAAAGCAAGCACAGAACATTTAGAAACTTGACTAGCCAAAGTAGCAGTAGCAGAGATAACAGATGATCTTTGTTATGACATGTCCAGAAGTACTCAGTACATCATTCGTATATCTGCACATAACCTTCAGCAGGCAGGAACAAATTCATAAATCTGCACAAAACGAACCAGATGAATTGTTTTACCCAATGTGTTACCTGTAAAATTATGTTTAGGTTTCACCTATTATAATTTCCTTAAAAAAACCAATTCTTACTAAATGACTTCTAGTCTTTTCCTCCCCTTTCAAAGCAAGCTGTGTACGATGTCCCCCTTCAACCTTGACCCTCGTTAAATTTCATTGTAGACGACCCGAAAACATCACGTATCATCACCTAAAACATGATGAGGTTATCTTACCGAAAATAGTATCAACTAGACTTCAATTTTTTGATATCCTTTTTCCTTGGACGAAAAATAAGTGTTCCTTAGGTTACAATTACATGTCGTTTGATTGGACAGTTTGGACAAGACGAACAATTAAAATTCTACAGAAAATCCAGTTATTAGAGTTTTAGTGCAGCACAGTGTCCACCAACTCGACCAATAGGAAGCACAGAAAACTGGGTTTGCAAGATAGAAAACGAACAAAAGAACAACGCTGGACAGTAGTTAGATCAAAGAACAAGTTTTTCATTAGATATGTGCAAAAAGAACGAGTTCCTGAACCTCTTGGAAGCGAATGGCAAAGTAAATCGCTCGTTTAACAAGATAGAAGAGAAACAAATAGCGGAAAATAGAAAACAAAGCAGTTTTTCCATCAACAAGCGCGAAAGAAAGAATTAAATGTTCTGTCGCCAAAATTGGCTTGACAGAGGAATCAAAAGGTGAGACGAAAAAGAAATCTGCGCCACAGACGACGAGGCTTCCAATGTAGCTGGAAGGTACAGATTTGAGCATGAAAACAGGTGGGTTTGGAGAGAGATGCATAAAGAAGAAAAGGCTTTATACTGACCTTGAGCTCAACGGCGGCGGCCTCTTTGATAGCGGCGATGGCTTCCAAGTCCGCCTTCTCGCTCTCGGAGATCGGGTCCGATCCGGCGTCCATCCATAGCGCCATCTCTTTCTCTGCCTCCCGAGTCCCCGAGGAGTCGCGAGGCTTCGTATTGCTGTGATCGTCGGAGGGGGTAACAAAAACCTTGAGATAAACCCTAGCTAGACGAATTCAGATCAGATGAGCCACATCTGGTCCAGTTCGGGTGGTTTTGCTCGAGTCAACAAAAAGCGAGTCGAGCCCTCGACTACAAAACAGACGGCCCGATGGCCCGCCCCAGGTTTTGTAGCCCAACTCATATATAAACCCGCTCTGCTCCCAGGTTCTCCTCATCACAAGCCATCGGCCAAAACTCTTTGAGGCAATATGCCGAGCGCTTTCCATCGTCTCACGTCTCCCCACCTCATCCGAAAGAAACCACCGTCGGCGGCTAGAAAGAAGAAGAAGAAGAAGAGAACAGGTATCCCCTTCTCCAAACCTCAACCATTAGAACACCAAGTAGCCGAAGAAGAAGAGGAGGGGATGGGGGAAGAGCAGGTGTTGGGGTTTAAGCTGAAGCCCTCCGCCTCGTCCCGTCTCCACGCCATCCAACCTCTCGGCAACCTCCTCCTCCTCGGCGACGCCTCCGCCTCCGTCAACGCCCGCGACTATGGCCTCGGCATTCTTCGCGCCCTGCCTGACGACCTCCTCCTCGACGTCCTTGCCCTCCTCCCTGCCCGCGACCTCGCCGCCCTCTCCGCTGCCAGCCGCTCCCTCTACGTCTTCGCTACCCACGACACCCTCTGGCGCGCCCTCGTCCTTGACCACTTGCACGGCAACTTCTCGTTCCGTGGCTCTTGGAGGTCCACCTTCCTCTCTGCCGTTAGCTCCCATCCTCCTCCTTCCTCTTCGGCTCTCGTGATCAGGAATTTCTACTCGGACTACCTCTTCCAGAGCTGGCTCTGCGCCAATATCGAGATGAAGCCTGAGTGGCTCGAGATCGACAACATCGAGAGGCGGCGCGGGATCTCCGTGGAGGAGTTCATCAGCCGCTACGAGGAGCCTAATAAGCCGGTCTTGCTGGAAGGATGCCTTGACGAGTGGCCGGCGATGAAGGGGTGGAGCCGGGAACGCCTGGTTCGGATCTGCGGCGGCGTCAAGTTCGCTGTGGGTCCTGTGGAGATGACCCTGGAGCGGTACTTCCAGTATGCGGACGCCACGAAGGAGGAGCGACCGCTTTACCTCTTCGATCCCATGTTCGCTGAGAAGGTTTCCGAGCTTGGGTCCGAGTATGAGGTCCCCAATTACTTCAGGGAGGATCTGTTTGCCGTAATGGGGAAGGAGCGGCCGGACTACCGGTGGATAATAATTGGGCCCGCGGGCTCAGGATCGTCGTTCCATGTGGATCCGAACTCCACTTCCGCGTGGAACGCGGTGATCAAGGGTTCCAAGAAGTGGGTCATGTTTCCTCCGGAGGTCGTACCCCCCGGAGTGCATCCGAGCCCGGACGGAGCTGAGGTTGCCTGTCCGGTGTCCATCATGGAGTGGTTCATGAACTTCTATGCGGCTTGTAGAAAATGGAAGAAGAGGCCGGTCGAGTGCGTGTGCAGAGCCGGGGAGGTAGTATTTGTGCCTAATGGATGGTGGCATCTGGTGGTCAATCTTGAGGACTCCATTGCCATTACACAGAACTATGTGAGCCGGTAAGATTCCTTATGCTTTCTAATCGTTCATTTGCTTGTAAACTATAGTACTGTAGACCTGTTTCTGAACAGTTATAGCAAAAACTGAACTTTTTCTTGATACTTGAGATCAAATGAACATAACATTATGAAGGGCAAAGTGTCAAGAAATTGTTTGTTATCTGGGAAATCCAAATTCTAGACTTTGTGAGTGACTGCAACAGCTCTATCTTCAGTGCCTTTGTTGCTTAAATCAGTGGGAGAGAATGAGTCTGAATGGTCATATTATGCTTTAATTTCTTGAGGTTAAGCTGCAAATTGAGAATAAGCAAAATGTCCCAGGACAATTCCATCTTATATTGTAACTTGAAGAAAAATAAATTAAATTTTGTTGCCCGTCTTTCCCAACGAAGTCCAATTGCTTGTTGGAGCCACTTCATTTGCCTCCGATGAAGTATAAGATGTTGATACTTTAAAGGCACAAATATCCAATAGTTGAGATTCAAATAGGTTGGTTAAGGTCAGGGGAATGTTCTCAACAATATGGTTCTCAACCGTATTTGAATCAACAATATGATTCAAATATGGTTCTTTGAGATTCAAAGGCACAAAGAAAATAAGAGATTTATTTTCTTTTGTTTTCTTGAGGTTTGATCGCTTTTTTGAGGTTCATAATTCTGGTAGTCCCTTTTGAATTTGTTAAAATACATCTCTTATTTTCTTTGCTAGCTTTTTTTTTTTTTGCTTATTGTAAATGGAAAAGAGTGTCATTATCACTATTTTTTTCTCAATAAAAAAAACTTTTAACCGTTTAAAGATCAAGATGAGAAATTGAGATTTTTTAAATTGATTATCAAAATATGAATAAAATGAAAGTGTTCAGAAGGATGAAAAAGCTGAGAAAAAAAAAACCAGAGATCAATAAACAATGAACATATTAGAAAATCGATATAAGATGTAATATGATTCAACAACTCCCTCTATAAGAAAAAAATTAAAATGTTTTGTTATATGAAAAGAATCAGTATAAGAAGATTAGTAAATGATAACACAGGGCAGGTTAGAGTGTGGAAAAATTGTAGCTGACTGATTGTGGTGGTGGTTTCTATGAGGTTATTGTATAAATACAGAAAAGGGAAACAAAGCATGTGATCCAGAGGTGGAGGATTTAGGAAAAGGATATATGTTTTGACTACGCAATCTTAAGTCCTTAAAACTCGCCCCCACTAGAGAAAATGGCTTCACACCAAATCACAAACGCTTGGGAAATGGAAACCTTCACTTTATTCAACCTCTTTTAATAGCTTATTAAGGACATAGGGAAAAAAGAACCAAACCTAATAAAGAAAAAGCATATATGGATTGTGATTAATTTTATCTCTTGAACTAATGGCTTCTTGTAATCATTCCAAACTCCCTATTATGGAGAATTTTCATTTATATTTTGGCTACTCCTTGATGAGAGATGTTCTTATTTCTGCAAGATCCTTAGTTGGGTGTGGTACCATTCTTGGACAATATTTTTAGTCAACCAAACCATTTATCTGTTGAACAGCAGAGTTTTCGTTTCTTAATTTTGACAGTCTTAATAAGAAAATTTTGATTAAATCTTCACCATTGAAATCCTGCCCATTCCGAACATATAGGACGTTTCGATTGTAGGAAAACATCCAACCTGACAAAATATTATACAGATTACAAAAAATCAAAATACATGGCAACTTATTTCAGTTGTAGGAAAACATCCAAACTGACAAAATATTATACAGATTACAAAAATTCAAATTTTCTAGATAAGATTGAGATGTGAAAACTAAAGTATCATCTTGTATGAACCCAAGTTTATCATTTACCCACTAAGACTAGGTCCAGATTTTCTTCTTCTGATGCCCATAGACCTGGAAGGCTCCCATACCTGCATCAGTTTCTAGTACCAAAGAATCATGTGATAACAACATTTTAATCAATTACAAATGTCTGTCTCTGGTGGATTGTTGTTTCAGTAGCTTCTTTCTGGTGTATCACTGAATGGGGGGTATTCGCGGAAGTTCTTTAACCAGTTTCCAGTTAGGCTACATATGTTATCCTATTCAATCGGTCCTTTTTTTTTGTCGTTTTCAATTTCATGCTAGATTCTGCCTTGTCTTTCTACTTGCACAATTCATTCTATATTAAGTTATCCCCTACAAACACACACAACTAAGGTAGGTAGCCCTTGCTTTTAGAGTGTGTAGCAATGAATCGCCTTTGCCTGCATATTTTGCAATATTTTCACAGATTATTGGGAATTTACCTGAAGATCTTCATCTTTGAAAAATAATTTAGCACTTGAGAATCAGAATGCTTTTGGATAATCATCTAGAAGTCTTCTAGAAAATTTTCCAGATCTACCCATATATGCATGGTTTTTATTCTGTCGCAAAACCTCAAATCACATATTTATGGTCCCATCAGCCAAACACTTTTAAAAAGAGCATAGTGTGTGTTTATGGTGGAATTTGCTTTGAATCGGGTAAATGTTTAGCCTGTGAAGTATAAATTCAAAATTGCCCGATGTCATTTTTGAACACGATGGAAGTTTTGCACTTGTACTTGTATGTTTAGACAGCGGACACTTTTTCTCGAGTAAACTTTCGCTGGTATGTATTGTTGAATTTCCAACTGGCACTCGTTTATGATTTTTGTTGGCGTTGCAGAAGAAATCTGTTCAATGTTCTGGATTTTCTTGGCAAGCCCAATGCCAGTGAGCTTGTCTCTGGAACCAAAGATAGGGTGAATCTGTACGAGAAGTTTCGAAGTGCTCTTGATGCTTCCTATCCCGGAATGATCGATGAGGTCACAGCAAAAGCCGAAGAGAAGATGGCTCAGAAGAAAAAACCATCATTCTGGGAGACTGTTACTGATACTAAGGTTGGAGGATTCAAGTTCTCCTTCTAACCCATTCAGATTAAAGATTAGCAAGAAGAGAACTCCAGAGAACTCAGTTCATTTCTCTACATTTATCCACTTCTTTTTCCCTTTTGTATGAACCGTCTGATTGACAACCATGAGGAGTTTTGTGTTCCTTGTAATGCCATTTATTTCCTAAATATAACTCAGTTTTGTACTTGAGATTTCATATATGTGCTTCACTTTACACTTTTGCTTGTCTGCTATTGTGATTGGAGTGCCATGACATGAGAACATCCACACGACCCTTAAAGCTACACAGAAGCTTCAGATCAGGATATCGAACGAATTGACAGCTGTTGTCGTCTCCCTGCCACCATTTCCTGACGGTTGACTCGCTAGCGCAGCCCCGGAACGTTCCCCAAGCGATCCTAACCCTTGATTGCTGAATCGGACGGGTGCTATTTTGGGTGTGATTTATTCGGTACTTCTCCTCATGTGGCAGTCGTCCTCATCCGACACGCCCAAATCTGTGGGAAAGGAGTTCGCCGGTTCGGCTCGTCCAACTCAGCATCCAAAATAATCCACCATCCAACTCAGCAGCTCACCTAAAAAACCACTTGGGAAGCTTCCCAACTCCCACAAGCGTTACCATGAACCCGTCCCGATACCCCATTTCACGCGTCCATGACGACAGGGGCCCCGCCAGCTCAAGTACGGTGTAAGATAACCTTTAGGACGTCCCCTCTCTTATCCATTGCCCCTTATTTCGGAACTCCTATACCAGCGGAGCAACACAACTATCATTCTCCACCAACCACCAGAGAGCTACAAAGCCGACGTGGCGTGAAATGCTTGAAAGCGAAGCACGTTATCCAGCTCCAGATATTGATTGTATCGTCGTATTCTGATCCGCCAGCCTTATAAAGGCTCGATTTCCGTTCGGCTTTCTTCGTCGCTTAGTATTTCGCCATTTCGGAGACCGCTCGAACGGGAAGGCAACGATTGGAAGGAGGGAGGGGCAGATGGAGAGGAAGCCGTCCGACTCTCCCAATTTAATGCGTCATTCGGCCGGAGCCGCCAGTGCCGCCTCGACCCCCGGCCGACGGTGGGCGCAGATCGCAGAAGAGAAGCCGAAGCCGAAGCTGGCAGCCCGGGTCACGGAGGCGGCCGGGGAGACGGTGGCGGAGTGCGCGGCAGTATTATGCTGCTGCCCCTGCGGCCTGGCGAACCTCTTCTTCGTGGCGGCTGTCAAGCTGCCGGCGGGGCTTGTCCGGCGGGCCCTGCGATTGAGACGGAAGCGTCGCGCCGGCTACGGAAAGGTGAAAGCCGGGATCTTGCGGACCAGAGTCGGCTCCTTTGACGACGACGACTTCAGTATTCACCACGGGACATTTTTTATGGCAATGGGGGCCAAAGAGGTATGGCCAGCGAAGGCGGTGTCGCCAGAGCTGTTGCAGTTGGAGAAGGAGATGACAGCGAGATTCTACAGCACTGGGTTTTGGCGGAGCCCTTCACAAAAGGAGTAAAGGGAACATGGCACCCCGGTCCCGGAGGGGAAATGTCAAAGGTGAGAACTTTGCCCCTCTTGGATCTTAAAGGGGAGAAAAAGCGGTTGCTTCCGATTGTTCTGCCCCGGTGCATCTCACAGAGAGATTATAATCCATTTACATGATCAATTTGTTGTTGTAAAGCACACTGGATGAAATGATATAAACAATGGGTTTAATTTCACCAAGAAAGAGATCGCATTTGTCTCCCTGAAAGTACTTGATCTCGATCATTTGATGGGACTCTCCGGGTATGCATCGTTGCTTGTTTGACTCTGTTTTCCTTTTTCTTTCGTGGCTTTGGCTCGTCGTTTGTCCATTCACAGATTAAATTAGGCTTTAAAATCGTACTGTAATCATATGTGAGTGTTCTATTTGAATACCTATAACATAATTCATTGAGGACAGAGGTGGATTTTGGTCTCTCCAGGTTTGTCCACTTCTGTATTCAGGATCATGAAAACAGAGTTCGGGATATAGTGGTTCCTTGGAAACATATGAGTCAGCAAGATGTCATTTTCGCCTGCTAATAACTTGTCCATCTCTCTTAGTCTTCTATGGCGGCGCCAAATGTAACAGCCGTCGCTTTTAACTGATCTGGAATGGATTTTTCCTGGAAGAAGATGGCTTGGTGCCCTGTTCTTCACAAGTTCATGAAACAGCTTGATGCAAGGTCATCTGACAAGCCTATTGTTCTGTGACATCGATCGTTGTTCCGCCAAGGAACATGATGTCGATTTACTGTTGGATCTCAATTAACAGCCTGCCAATAAATCTTTCAGCCAAGTTTGTGCGAGTGTAAGAAATCAGTGCTCCAATAAATCTCTTCTACCTTCAACCCTGTCATGAAAACCCCTACACATCATTCATGAAAGATGGCTTTGTTTTGCTGTTTACATTTATACATTGTTTATTTGAAAGAAACTTTTGATCCTTCGTTCATTCAAAGATCCCATTTTTTTTTCCTTGTTATTTTTCTACCAAAATCACCAGAAAACAAATTTACAATATTTTTTCATATATTTATTAAATAGAAATTATGTGAGTCCAAAGATTCGAGTTCCCAACTCACGTGGTCAGTGGGTCCCGCTCGCCGCATCTGTGGCTCGGTGTCCGAGCCGGGCCTTTCTTCTCTGTTCCCACCCACGTTCGTGTACCAGATGTTTCGCTCGGAATCCTTATCCTCTTACGTGGCGAGTTAAAAGTTTGGCATATAGGACTCGCAGATGAGGTGGAATCGGGCCCACACGTCGTAGTGTGTCTTTTAGATCTTCTGCGGAAACAACATTATTTTTTGGGACACCTACGTAACAGCCTTACGAGAATACCCAGAGATTCTGACCGTCAGATCTCGTATACCAACTCAGATGACCGTTGATTAGGCGTTCGTTTAATCTTAGTTTTTTTTTTCCGGGCGCCCAAGACGATCTCCCAATGCGAATACGCCAACTGTACTCGAGCGTGACGTTGGTATACGTTTATTAATCCGTCACACCACGTATACCGCATGCGCCGTCGTACTCGGTTCTCCGCGGTCCGCCGTTCCCGTCTATCGCCTCCACCCTTTTCTTCCACCTCGCTGCGTCCCTCTCCGTCGCCAGCCCGAAGCCTGAAGCCCTTCTTCCGCTCTTCGCCTCCCCCACTCCTCAGACACTGTGGCTCTGTTATTTGGGGCTTGTCTCGCTTTCTCCCATGGCGGCGTACGAGAGTGATGGCGGCGGGATCGGGGGCAAGTTCCGGAAGCGCCTCTTCCGGCGGGCCCCCGCGACGCCGTACGATCGGCCCCAGGCGGCGGCACGCCCCGCCCAGCCGCTTCCGGCGGAGCCGCGGGGGAACGGGTGGCTCTCCAGGCTCGTGGACCCCGCGACCCGGATCATCTCCTGGAGCGCATCCCGCCTCTTCCCCTCCTCCGTCTTCCAGAAGCGGCTTGGCGCCCCTCCTGCCGCGCCGCCAGGTTTGGTCCCTCCTTATTCTTTTGCTCACGTACTTGGTCGTCCCGTTCTTGGAGCTTTCGGTTAGGGCTCTTATTTTCTAGGGTTTTTATTGGGATTTTTTTGTTTCTGGCATTTGTGGTGGCTTCTTTTGATATCGGATCATCAAGATTACTTTTTTCAAGAGTGTGTGTTCGGGGTTCGTATTGTCGTTTTTGTTGAGGTGCCCGATCTCTTGTATCGTGCTTAGACCATGTTGGAACTTTATGTCAATTTTCAAGAAACAAACGTGGAATCTTGGAAGAATTATTCTTTGTTGCATCCATCTGTCATCTAGGATACTCTAGCACCTTAAGTTATCGTAATTAATAGTGTTTTCTCTTTTGTCAGTATGTGATACGTTTCTGCTTGATAAAAAATGTTGTTTTCTTGGATTGCTCGGCAATTTCATGACGTAATTACATCATGCTGATGGATTATCAGAAACCTCTGGTACTTTGTTGTTTTATCCATGTTCAATATTATTTTTTGTTGCATTTGAACACAGCATTTGTTGTTATCATATTTTATCCGCATTTGCTGTATCAATTCTAGCTTCCTAGCTGTGATAATATGACCTTTAGTTAGTGGGTCTCTGAGAAACCCTTTGGCAATATGGGAGTTTAACAAGTTGCAATCTAGTGCCTAGATTTGCTGTCAATACTGAGTATTGAAATTGGAAACTGGGATATTAGTGCTTATTTTAAAATCAAGTTCTGCAATTGTTGCACTAATGAAATTGTAAACCATGAAAAGAAATTAAACTCTGCAAGTTGTTTGTTATATGTTGGTCAAAGCTTCTGAGCTACCAATTCAAATTCATTTCCTTATCAATCACCTGACATGGCCTCAGATAGCTCAGATAGCTCACCTGACATCGCTAGGGCGTACTGAGCGATACACCTAATTTAGGTGTAAAACCTTCTGAAAATACCTGAAAAAAAAAAGTTAGGATAGAGTTTTTAAGTTAGAAATAAATATAGTAATAGCATAAGTTTAGCAAAATCAATGTAAATTAGGTAAGAATAGTATCACATATCTTTTTCGGGCTTTAAAAAATATCTTGTGCAAAGTTCGTATTTCGGTCCATTATGGATTGTCCTTATGTAAACATACCTGTTGATTAGAAAGTTCTTCCTCTTAATCTTCCCAAATTAGCCTCGATTCAATTCACAAATCGCTGTTTTGTAGAGTTTAGGAGAGCACAAATGTGAGAAAAAAAGAGTTTGAGATAGTTTAAGAGAGTATGAGAATGTAATGAAGTGAAATAGGGAAGAAGAAGAGTTTAAATACTATGAGAAAGGGCTCCGACGGTCAATTTGACCGTTGGAGCACTGTATCACTGTTACCGAGCGGTTTTAAATATTTGATCATTGGAGCACTGTATTACTGTTACTGAGCGGTTTTAAATATTTCTTTCTCTTATTGTAGCACTGTAGCATGTTCCGTTCGGTAACGGACGGTTTGTGTACCGGTATACCGTCGGACCGGTACGTACCGCTCGTACCGGGCGGTACTATTCGAAATTGCATACCTTGATTATCCCATTGTTTTTTATTGTGACAACTACATTATTCTTGCAGAGGCAAATCAAAGACCAGTGGAGGAAGTCATCAAAGAACCGTCTACTGTAAGCACCAGAAACACTCATACCTTTAGATGTTAATGGAGAATTTTCTAGTCAGTAACCAACATTCTCACTGAATTATTATTTCTGTATGGCTTTTGAGATTGAGCTTAAAGATTGTTTCTGATTAGTTCGAGTATATTCAGCTTTGTTAGGACTTAGGAGTTCCTATGTGTTGAATTCTTAGTTCAACTTATTTTCAGTTTGGTTGGTTCTTAGATTTTCACTATTATATCAGGAAAATGATGTAGAAGTTTTGCTACAAATGAACAGTTTTAGTAAATTTTTGCTGTAATTAGAGAAATAGCCAGAATGTAGTGTATACTAATTTTAATAGAGAAGATATAGAATCTAAAGAGATTGGAGAACATAAAGCAAGCAAAAATAGAGAGAATCAAGGAAGTGAGAAATGAGGAAAGTTGACTCATTTCTCTACAAATCTTTGCAAAAATAGCTAATAGAGAGATAATTGATTTCATCCACTAGAAATTTAAGCATAAGCTGCACCCTAAAGGGAAAATAAAGGGAGAAAAAATTAAATTTTTTTAGATATGTGCTTGCAGGTTATCATCACTTCATTGTTGGTTCCAAGTCTCTACAAACATTTTGGATCCAAGTCTTGTCATGAGATTGAATTTTCCATATACATTAAGATGCATGCATATTCTGTGGTCTTGTATCCTTTGTGTATTCCTATAGCTTTATTCTGCTGATTGAAGTCATGCACGCATATGCAGTGAAAGTTGCTGCTATTGTGTTGCAGGCTACTAACTGGCAGTTTAATAAAGGACTAACTGTATGTCTCAACTATATGAGGTTTGCATTTAGTATAAGTTTCATCAAGGTTATAAATTTTAGTTCATGATGGCATCCCGGTGATGTTCTGACATTGTGTTTGCTGATCAAATGAATTGGAACTGTTCCATGCCGCCTCTCTGTGCAAAGTTAGCAAATGTTGGCAGACGTAGAGCACAGCTTGTCACACTTAAATCCACAATGCACATGCAGATGAGGGTGTTTTAACTTTTAACTATGTAATTACTTAGTAATATGACTTTTGAGTTTTGCATGTTTCAGATTGCCTGCCGGTTACTAGTGCTCCATATGGTTAGACTTTAGTGGCTACTAGACACTATATTCTATGGTCACTGAATAGCCTGTTCTCGACTTGTGCCCTTCTCTCTTGGCCATCCTTTGAGGGCATCTGCATTAATAGTTTTTTTTTTTTGTGAAATTAAACTTGCTTTTGACTGATTGTTTCCATTTTCCAATAACTAGACACTTTTTCTGGATCTATGTTAATAATCAATCTTTTATGCCTTTCAAAAATTTACCTACAGAATTCATTACACGAAGTGCAAGAACATCTCAGTGATGGAAAAAATGCAGTGAATAGTTCCAATGCTGGCAGCGCTCAACATGGAACCAGTTCTCATGTCGATGGAGTTTTTGAACTCGAGCAACTACTGAAGCAGAAAACTTTTACAAGGTAATTGTCTGCAACTTGGGACCATACTATTGAATGTGTAGTCTGTTTTTATTTTGGTGGCTGTAATATAGACAGTTTTTCATGTTGCTGCTGGATACTATGTGAATATTGCAGTTGGACTAGTTCTTATTCGAACCACGTGATATCTCTTACATTGATATCACATCTTTTAGTATCTTATTAATAACTATAAAAGCACAATTGGCCTGATATACTTAATTATCTTATTTGTCGTATATGTTGTTCCTTCTGTTATACTTATTACTAATTTGGCAGGACTGAGTTTGATCACTTGACCCAGTTATTACATTCAAGAATTGTGGAACCAAATGCACGAGAAGTGGCTGTGAATTCTGAGAATATAGAGATAACAAATGTTCGAGGTCAAACTAATAATGCTGTTGAAGTAAATGTATTACAACCAGCATCAAGTTATGAAATAGAAATGCCAACTATTCCAGGTGAAGCAAATAAGAAGCAGCAGTGTGCTAATGATGTATCACAACCAATGTCAAGTTTCAATAATAAGGATAAAAGAGTTGCTTCAGAACACGAAAGAAGAGAGGTATTTTCTGGGTTACATGAAATTGTTACAGTTCCTGCACCTGGCCTGGCTGTAAGATAATGGTCCTTTGCTTTTTTTCTCTTATTAGCAATAAGAACCTTTATTTTAACTGCTGAACCCTTATTATATAAGCAATAGGAACCTGTACTTTTTTAATACTTCTTGCCAAGGATTAAAAGTTTGATCTGAGCCCTGTACCAGTCCTTGGCCAGACCAGTATGAGTTTGGTAAGTACCAGCATACCGACAAATGATATGTTGACATACTGGTTGGAACATACCAATGAGAAAGAGGGAGAGAAGAGGGTGGCAAGGAGAAGGTGAGGAGCAGGGTAGGAGGTAGAGGATGTAGTGGAGGAGAACAAGGCAGAAGAGGATTATCGGATGCAACGTGGCCTGTGGGGAGAATCGCATGCATGCAAGAGAGAGAGAGAGGAGTGTGGGTAAAGTAAAAAAATAAATAGATAGCTGTCACTATAAAAAGTTAAAAAGTAGATTAATTTCAAATTGGATGATCATAATTGCTTGGTCCAGGTGCTGTTTTTTGGTTGGATCAGTAAATATTGGACAGGACAAACTGGTCCGACCAGTTATATGAAAAATTGGTGCGTGCATTATCTTTTGGATCAAATTTACTAGATATCTTGTTGATGTCCTATGGCTAAACTGATTCCTTCTAAAGTATAGATTATAAATATCAAAGACCTTCTTTTGCAGCCTAAAATTGCTAGGTACTTTGTTGCTTCGGTTATTATTTCATTCTCAACTTGTTTGACTTATCAGATTTTGCTCCAATTTTTTTTTTTTTTTTTGGAAAAGCCAGCCTCTTATGCTTAGACGAGAATAAAGACTTGCTAATTAGTCTTTTAGGATTAATGAGACTTCTATAGTCATTTTTTTAGGAGGGGAGGATTGATGATATATCGTTCTATGCACTATACAATTTCAAGTATAATTGCAACCCATATGCATGAAAAGTGCTTCTTGACTTTGACCACGTTTGGATTCTAGATAAATCATTTAATAGGTTAATTGTTTCAGTTTAAGGTAGTTCAGTTCAATTGAATAATTTATTAATCACAAATTTTAGTTTTTATTAAGGACATTAAATATGTTTATTTTCTAATGCATTACAGAGGACCAAGGAAGAAGCTGCCTCGTCAACAAAAATTGCTAAGATACATATGAGTTCTAGGTTTTTTAAATCTTCTGCATCTCTAAGCGTGCAAAATAAATTATTTCGGGACGATAGAGCAATGCCAATTGGAACACCGTATGCAAGGAAACCATCCAATCATTCGTTGGTATTGAGAACTGCAGTCCGCAATTCTGAACCTGTTGAAACTAGACGAAACAGCTTGTTGAGTTCAGGAATTTATGGCAGATCAGCAATATATAAAATGTCTCGTTCTCCATACTTCAAGCCCTGTTCAATGGCTAACTTAGGGGTAAGTGCAGATTTATTTAGTAATAACTACTTCCTTTGGAGAAAATTAAGATTCCCTTTTTTGTTTCCTCCATTGAGGAACGTTGTTTCCCACCTCAGAATATCTTGTATGCTGTTGCTTCAGGGTGACAGATCTTCGCTGGATGACTATGGTTGCCCCTCTATGTCTGAAAACATTACACACTCTGGTGGCAGACAGGTTTGAGCCTTTTACTTTGCAACACCCTTCAATTAATTTGCCTAATAAAGCACTCTTATTTAACTAATTTTATAGAGCTCCATGACGGTAAAATATCTATATAGCTGACCCCAAATAATTTGGGCATTGTAGCGAACATCAATTTGATAAGTGGATAGTGCTCATACAAGCCTAACCTTCATTATCCATTCGTTTGTGTCTTAAACTGTATTTGTTGTTGAATTAGTATGCCTACATAACACATATAAAACTTGGATTGTAGAGATTATACCTGGGTGGTTTTTGAATATATTATATGAGGGAGGCTTCATTTAGTTATCATGCTCATGAATGATTATGACTTTATTAAATAGAGTAACCACTTATGTTTTGGGACTAGAAATGACATAGCAAACTTGGTGATATAGAATTCTCTGCATACATCTAGTATGCTCTCATCAGCCAGCATAATATTGAACATACAGCATATTCTGAAGACAACATGAAGAATCCAATTATAGCACAAAACAGTAGTTGAAATCATGAAGATTTAAGGACTACAGAAGAAATAATATCTCTCGATGTGCACCATGTGTGCCTTAAAAGAATTTCATGCAGAAGCACCAGTAGGGGTTGTGGCACAGTAACAGGCCATGCTCACCACCTAATTGGTGGCATCCTTGGGTCATTTCATGTGCAATACTGTGCTTCTTGTTTGGCTTTACAGTATTTCTTCTCTTTTCTCTGTTTGTGGTTCCGTTTATCAAAGCATGCTTAAAGGCCCTTCTCTGCTTACAGTTTTTCCTTGTGCCTTTTTGTTTCTTTCCTTCTTAAGGAAGGTATTACAGGCCTGAATTGTAGTGTTACACTTCCTTTCAGGTATCTATAATTATGCTGTTTTCTAGTGTAGCTTTACTGGTGCTTCCCTTCCCTCACTGCTCATAGGATCACATTTTATTACAACCTTTTATTATTTTCATATATGTTGATTTCTTTCATATTTCGACCCAGTCCTTGCAATGTCATCTGTCCATTTCTGTCTTACATGCTGCCCCCATTATGTTTCATTAGAAATTCACAGATCACTCACAGTGTATCTTCCACATTGTACATTTCCAGAGGTGTCGGGCTTGCCATGGTTGAAAACTGTATTCTTTAAAATTGCTTTTATGTTCATAATTAATACATGTATATTTGTATGATCAAATATCTATAATGTGGTATGGAACTAGGAGATTAAACTATGTTAAACCTTAATTTAAATGGTTACACATGTAACAATTATTTAGTCCTGTTCAATTTTGGTGTTTCTAACACTAAAATTGAACTTTTTTAGGTTAACATTTTAAATCCAAACATAGTGATGATATAATTAAGAAAGCCAAATCAAATGGTTTTCCATTCTGTTTAACAGTTTGTCGATTCACTTGCACCCCTACTGAAGAAGTAGAATCTTGACATCAAGCAATAGCTGGTCGTGAGTACTCTCTCCCAAGGGGCCTGCTTCAAGTACCATAAACAGACATATGATGTCAAGCGCCCATGATGGTTATTTGTTGTTGTATGCCAATTCTTTCATAAGGTAGAAATAAAATGCAAATGTGACTGAGGCCGCAGCCCTGATTTTATGGCTTCACATGGATTTTCCTGATTTCTTGTGTTATGATACTTATTTTGTATCTTATTCTGTTTTTTTGCATATGTTCTATGAGTCCAATATGGGATTTTTTTTGTTACCAATTGGCAGACGTTTAAACGAGGGAGATCACTTTTAGAGGATGATATCGGATCATCTGGTCCCACCCGTAGGACACATCAGAAGTCCAACTTGATGTCTCCATTAGCAAGTCCATACTTGTCGCGGGGGAATTCTCTGCCTTCTTCATCAACTCGTGTTGATCAAGGTTCTGTAACTTTAAACCAAAAGCTTCTCCATTTGAATGAACAAGAGAATGACCATAGTGAGTTTCAAACTGTAGAAAATAGTGGGGTTCCTTCTGTTCCACTTCCTCCCCAGTCCAGTGAGATGGCTAGGAAAATTCTACAGCAACCTGATAAACTGGTGACTTCTCCAAAAGGGCAATCCTCTAATCTGAAAATTGACATGGAGGAATCACCATTTCTGTTGACTCATAACATGCTTCATGGACAAGCTCTTAAAAGCATGGAGGAAATTGATATGTCTAAGTTTTTGAATGTGCAAAAAAATGGCAGTTTGAAATCTCCCAGTGATTCACACCAAAAAAGTTTTGGAAATACTATTTCTCAGAAGCAAGACAAGTCTGAAGAAAATGGCTCTACCAAGAGTGCTGTTAAAGGGGTTCGATTTGCATCTACAAACTCTGTTCTCGAGAAACCTAATAACGTATCTGGCAGAGAGGCCAAACCTAGTACGACAACTGCTCATTTTGTTGTTTCAGGTGCTGCTACAACTACCTCACAAAAAAAACCATCATTCCAGATGAGTGCACCCGAGGTATGTTATTGCAAGTATCTTCTAAATATATTTTGTGATTTTGTCTTTCAAATTTATTTGGATGCTCTATGACCAGCAAAATTCAATGCATTTTTCCTTTATTTATCAAGGATCTTGTCGAGTTGGATGATGATAGCGATGATATAAAGGATTCTCCAAGTACAGCTACTATTGTTGGTAATAAACCTTTGTTGATATCGAAGTGTGAGATTACACACGAAAAGCCTAAATTGGAGAAATCTATGAAATCTTCCTCTAATAATATTTGTACATCCATGGGGGTATCGAATGGGGATTCCACCAAGATATCCAATGGGCTTGGTATGGAAAAAATGAATGGATTTTTTTTCTCTGCTGCACCTGCTTCAACCATTTCATCTCAAGTACCATTAATGGTTTCTAATTTCACAACATCGCTTATGAAATCAGCCCCACAGTGTGAGGAAACCCCTGCTCCTACATTTAAAGCTGATTTGGTGGAGCTTGCATCTGGATCTGCTTCAACTGCTGCTGGTGCTAGTGGCCTTGGTTTCAGGTTTTTATTTAGAATTTGAATTTTACTTCATTGTCTTTTGACCTTTCAAATTTTGTTGCCCATCTTCATTTTGAACAAATGAGTGGTACAACAACATGGAGAATATTCTAGTAATACGTAAATTTTCTCTTCATATCAATTTACATCATCCTCTGAAAGTTTGCCAACTCGCAACAAATGCGACTGATGATGACATTTGATACATTCCTTATGGTTGGTCATTTATTTTCCATACTCTGAAACCTATTCTTTCTAAATCCTTCGATCCATGTTTAAAACACACTATAATTATATAATTACTTATATAATTGAATATAGATTAGCTTCATTCTATTGCTACGGTGAATCATACACTTAAAACAGTAAGGAACGTTAGATGACTAACTGTTTGAGGTTTAGGTAGAGGTAGTTCATTCAGAATAATTGGTTCTTGTGGAAGGTTTTAGAAGGGTTGTTGACAAGAAAAGAGAAAATTTGGGCATAAAGTTAATGCTATTGCAAGGAACATGATGTTTTATGGGTTTGCAGGTAGTTTTTGTAAAAAGGGTTTGCTTTTAAGCAACTGAAAAGTGGAGTCTGGAATTCTCAAATGCTATAATTAAACAGTGCAAAACCTCATGCAGACAGTGTCTTGGGATCTGGAATTTTAGTAGTAGCATAAAGATTTGAAGCATTAGTCAGCCCTTTAAAATAATTATAGGCAATGCAGAGAACTTTTTGTCCTGAGTCGAAACATAAAATTTCTGTAGAATTTTCTTTTTGTTGTATTTTGTATTGTTGGAACTTGGAATCATTATAGTTTTATTCAATAAGATGATGCTTTTATCTCAGATGCCAGGAGTGATGTCATTATCTTTGTTGTAATGTTTTAATATTCTAATTAATGCACTCTTGTAGCTTTAACAAAAATTTTCTCAGTGGTGAGCACTTGTTTCATTCATGGTTGTAGTTCTTGTATGCCTGTAGGGAAAAGACCTATCTTGTGCTTTCGTTGTACATGAAGTTGATTGTCCTTATTTGCAGTCATTCAATTCTTACTTTGAAAACTTGATATGATGAAATCTGATCTGTGGATGTAGTATTTTTCAGCATGTATAATCATGTTATAATTATATATCCCCAAATATGTATATATATTTCTTATATGAAGGAATCTTGCAAAGTTCTTATCTTATAATTCTGAGTACTTGATTGGTATTGTAGTAATGCCACGACAGCAACTGTATTAGAAGGCTCAAAAGGTGAAGTTGTCCAAACTTCAAAAGGTGGGGACCTATTCAATGCATTTGGGAATGCTGCATTGCCGACCTTATCTGGTTTTGGAGCTTTTAGGACATCTGAACTAAATGATGGCATCACTTCATCCACTGCCATATCTTCAGCTCTTGTTGCTCCGTCCATGACATTGGGTGCTTCATTCGCACCAGGTTTCTCCACCAGCACCAGCATGGCACCTAATTCTTCAGCTACCATCTCATCTGATGCGCCTATATTTTCCACAATCCCCTCCTTCCAGTTTGGTGCTAGTGGCTCTTTTGGTGCTTCTAATGCAGTAACTTCATCAACAGAAAAATCTGAGTCTACCAATTTGGTGGGAGAGTCTGTCAAGTCATCTGTTTTCAGTGTAAGCAGCTCTGCTCCTCTACTAGGTACATCTGCTGCATTTTCAAGCACCAGAAGCAACAGCTCAGCCGTTCTGACACCATCAATATTCGCAAGCACGAGCAATGGCTCCTCTGCTCTGCCAGCGCCAGCATTATTTAGTACAGCCACTGGTGGTTCTTCTGCTATGTCATTGTCGTCAGGTTTCTCCACAAGCACCAGCATGGCACCTAGTTCTGCAGCTACCATCTCATCTGCTGCACCTATACTTTCCACAATCCCCTCGTTCCAGTTTGGTGCTAGTGGCTCTTTTGGTGGTGCTAGCACAGTAACTTCATCAACAGAAAAATCTGATTCTACCAATTTGGTGGGAGAGCCTGTCAAGTCATCTGCTTTCAGTGTAAGCAGCTCTGCTCCTCTAGGTACATCTGCGGCATTATCAAACACCAGAAGCAACAGCTCAGCTGTTCTGACACCATCAATATTTGCAAGCACAAGCAATAGCTCCTCTGCTCTGCCAGCACCAGCATTATTTAGTACAGCCACTGGTTCTTCTGCTGTGTCAATGTTGCCAGGTTTCTCAACTTCATCCAATGGATTCAGTGGTTTTGGTTCATCACCACAATCTGGTGGTGCCAATTCATTGTTTTCAAGTAACAGTTCTCAGAACTTGACAGTGTTTGGCACAACAGCAGAATCTAGTTTCAGCACTCAGCCAGCACAGTCTGGAACTGGGATGTCACATGCTTTGCCAATATCATCATCTAATACCTTCGGTTCATCAATTCCTACGACAATGTTTGGTCTAAGTGGCACTTCCTCATCTGGTTCTGCAAGCTCATCATTTGGTTTCTCAACGCCTGGTTTGGAGCCTCTTGGTTCAAGTTCTGGCTTCTCTTTCCCGACTGCTACTGGGTCATCTTCCAGTTCTGGCAGTAGTAGTACCATTCCACCGGCAAAGAGTTTTGTTTCAAGTACTGGGTTGTCCACCATTTCAACTTTAAGTGCTGGCGGCAGCAGCAGCTCCCATGTATGGTCTACGCCTTTTGGTTCAAGTGGCTTTTCCTTTGCAGCAAGTGCTATTTCATCAGCCAATTCCAGTGGAAATTTATCCCTTGTAGCAGGTACAGGCACTGGCCTGTTCAAGTCCACTTCACATTCAGCCCAGTCATCACCTTCTGGCTCCATTTTTGCCTCAACCACTTTTTCACCTGCTACAGGGCTTCCATTTGGGTCAGCTCCCTCTTCAGGGAGTTCACCTTTCATGTTTGGTTCATCATCAGGGTCAGTTTCTTCATTCACTTCAGTTGGAAGCACAACTTCACTGATTTCTCTTGTGCAGCCTGTGTTTGGAGCACCAAATCAGACAAGTGGTTTGAATTCAGGTTCACCTGGAAATGACCAGATGAATGTTGAGGATAGTATGGCTGATGATTCTGTCCAGTCTTCGGTTCTTCCGGCAGTGAAATTTGGACAACCAACAAATACACCTGCATCTCCTAACTTTGTGTTCGGTTCCCCAGCTACACCTGGTGGGACAACAACCTTTCAGTTTGGCAGCCAGCAGAATAATTTTATGCCTCAAAGCCCATCTCCATTTCAACCAGCTGGAAATTTAGAGTTTGCTGCAGGAGGAAGCTTCTCTTTGGGAAGTAGTGGTGGTGGTGACACGTCTGGTCGAAGGACAGTGAAAGTAAGACGAGATAAGCATCGGAAAAGGTAGGGGAGGATTCGAGTTGATCGAGATGCATTTGCGGCACTAGCTTGATGGCTTTTGTTTATTATTTGATGGCAAAGGATTTTGATGTCAAAAGGTAAGTGTTATTTGTCTCAGATCAAAGTGCATGGTCTCTGGAGTCTGGGCGAATGTTCTTCAGAATGTAAGTGTACTTTCCCTGTCATTTTAGATTTCAGCTTGCACTCAAAAGTTTTACTTTCACCTCCAAGTATTTTAGGGTTTTCCAGCTTCCTTCAGCCTATATCATTGCTCTTTTGGTTTCTTTATAAACCGTATGAAGGACTTTTGCACTTTGGCTTTGGTGTCAAGTATCGACGTCCATTGTTGGTATGCTTGTACTTCATACTTGTATTGTGGAGCTCATAACACCATTCTTAATGTAATCTCTATCACATATCAGCGATCATCGCATGTGAGAACTTAAAGTTTGATGCATGTTTTCTCTTTTGACACCATTCTGTGATTATTATAGAACAAATGCTGCCGTTTTTCCTCAAATTGTTCACATGGTCCACTGCCTCTGTCATCACAACCAGCCAGTACCAAACAAAAGCAAACAAAGATGGCTTTCTTTCTACAAGGAATCGCCAAATCAACTGATCTTGAACTTCTAAGTTTCATAAAAATTTTCTGTTGCATATCCTGGAAGTTATAGAAGGAACTCAAGTGATCTAGTTTTCTGATCTGGGTTTTGGTTGATCACTAAATTTTAGTGTATTTTAATAATATTTAGTGTATGAATGGTTCCTAAACACTCCAAGCAGATTTAACCGTTGCTGTTTGATTAGTTTTTAGTTTGTTTTCTGAACCTTAGGGGGAATGAACTAACAACTGGATTGTTATGTCTAACTCACAAAGCCTGTCATATACAGATGAGATATTAATCGGATTCTCTTATCGGCACCAGACTATTAGACAATTATGTAATTTCAATTTGAAAAAGAGGTTTTTTTATTTCACATTCATCTAGACCTGTTCTGTGGATAGTAGTCAAGCATTTTTTCATGTTCATCTATCTTCTTTTTTTGTCTACTTTCCTAATTGGGCTGATGCTGATTGGCTTGTGAACGATTGCACACTTTGATGAGGTAGTTGTCAAGGCTTGAATTTTTCGACATTAAAAATGCTGGTTTTGAGTGACATTGTTTGCTGATTTATGAAACTGTAGTCTTTACTCTGTAGTGTAACAACTGCAGAAAGTGGGGTTGTATTATGTATTTCCTCATCATCATAGCAAGAATTGTTAATCTTAGATCTGTCATTGTTCTGTTCCGTGGACCTGAAGAATGATGTCTCGGAGGAACTGTGCTGCTGCATCAGGATCAGTCAGTTTGATGAGATGTCTGCAACCTAGTTTTTTTGCTTTAGAAGATCTGTGTGGTTGATTTCTGTTTGCTTTAGCGAAGCTACATGTGTCTGCTGGAGTCAGCTGTTGCAATCACAAGTCGGAAGAGTTCTTTGACAAATTGCACTTTGAACCAGTTTGTAAAGGGTCGATGACGGTGTTCAGGTTCCTAGTTCCAAATTTAAGAGAAATTGGCCGAGTTTCAAGTTTCTTTGCCATCTAAAAAGCTGATATTGCAACTCTTGACACTATTCATTGCATGTCATCCCGATATAAGGACCTGAAAACTGATTTCTAATGATGGCAATTGCTCCTGATACAAGATGTGTTGATGTATTATGCCCTAACGTTACCTGATCTTTTTCCTAAGGTCTTGTATGGCTCTAAAGTCAGAAAAGCTGTTCTACTCATCGCATCATGTTGGTGGTTTTCATTTTACGAAGTTTTTGATAGTATGTTGGAACAACAACAGTTTCAAGTGAGAAATGAAGGCAATATTGCAAGAATGTCAAGTGTGCAAAGCTGTAATCAATCATGTTCCAGACACGGAGGTAATCAATGGAATGCTGGCTAGAAGATGGTGGGCTTTGTTTTAACTTGGTACAAGAGAGCATCCATATCTGGTGATCTGTTATATGGTGTTGTTTTTTCTGCTTTCAACATATGTAACAGATAGTTTGCTGGAAATGGTGTTTAGATTCTGGAATGCTGTGTTCTTTCTAGCTATTAATGTTTCATTTTTTGCTTTGCTTTGTTTTCATTGTGGAGAACTCAATAACTGGTAATATTTCTGCAAACATGAACTTATTCATGTACTATGAGAGTTTCCTGTCTCCTAAGAGATGCACAAAAGCAGTGATAATAGCTTCAGTTTCAGTTCATGTTCGTGTGATTTCCTAACCAGAAGATATCCATATAGTCTTTTGTGTGTGTGTGTTTCTGGTTCGACGACTCTGCTCACTTCTGGTTCGTCGACTCTGCTCATTTCCTAAGGGAGGGACCGTCTGATAACATCCTTCGTCGACTCCGCTCATTTCCGGTTCGACGGTGACAATTCGAGCCGGGGTGATGCAAGGTGATCTTGTTTCTTCTCTTGATGTGCAATGAAATACGTGCCATTTGATTCGGTTAGCCTTTCTTTCTCCCTCTAATTTGCATATGGCCTCAAGATCTTGATGTTTCTTTATTATTTGTTTGATTGTAACTTATAAGTTGTTTGTTCAGTTGATTGAAGTTTTAGGTTTCCGTAGCTTAGCATCATCAATCTGAATGTGATCATTCCATAGGGATGGCATAGGTTTAGGAATGTTGTTTATCCCAATACAAGAGACCATCATGAGAATAACCACTTCTCTTCATACAAGTCCTTGATGACGAAGTAGGTGATATAGAACAGATAACCTAGCTGGAGATGGTCACACATCTCAGCCAGAATGAATCATGTGGTGTTACTCTGCTTATACCATTCTTCTCGTAGTCCTTGTCCTCTACTGTTATCCTGATGTGTTTTGCTTGAATCCAGGAACTTCACCTGGAATTGTCTGAGGAGCGAGCTCCCTGGTCCTATTACCTTCATCACCTCCCCTGTTTTGTGCTTCTGCTGTGTATCTAACAAGGCATCTATACTGACAGTAATGTGCCCATGATCAGAGTACGATTGCATCGTGATCGACGTGACAGTCGACACGACCCGTCTTTCTTGAGGGAAGGAATGAACACGGGCTTGTTCTTTGAAATCAGATGATCTATTGAGTCTTCTCTACCTCGATGGACTGACTATATACAGTTTGTTCTTGTGCCCAGTTCGTCAACATATCTTGATGGCCAGGTAAACTACTACAAGAATTGCAGGACCAGACCGAAGTTGATGATGCAAGGAGGAGCAGAACTATAGGAATGCGTCCACGGCATACCTTCCCTACGAATCTCTGAGGTCATGTCATTGCGGAGTTTTCCGATTAAAACAACGAGTTAGGTTTTGAATATTGGAAGCATGCTTCTCCCCGACAGCTGTTTTTAGAGAGACTCTTCTGATCATCATGCTGAAAGCTTCTGTTTTGGAGAACGAAGACTGATCCTAAAGTTTCCATAAATAATGGAAGAAAACAAAGGCATCATCTATTCTCCCAATAGTTACAGTACCTTTGGGGAGCCTAAACATCCGATCCGATGGGACACCGCATGGGTAGAAGAAGCATAGCAGATGAGCTGAATTTTCTAGTTAAGAATAATTAAAGAAAGAAAAAACAAAGATTGGTGAAGAAAGATTCTTCACCGTAGATTTGTAAGTTCAGTAATCATTCTTCTCCCCATTGCCATCCCCACACATCAGAGCTACAGGAAGAGGAAGCAACAAATGAACTGTCACCCACTCAATCCACTGAATCATAACCCTCGAGACTTGTTGTTTTCCACACTCCTCTCATAGAACATCCTATTCTTTTACCCGCAGCAGTTTGGAATCCGACCTTTGGGTAGCCTATTGTTTTCTTATCTTCGTGATTCATGCAAAAGACCAGAAAGCCGGCCGCCGGTGATGTCGGACCATGTCTTCCCCGAGCAAGCTTGCTACGTCAACTGCAACTTCTGCAACACTCCTCTCGTGGTATACTCTCTCTCTCTCTCTCTCTCTGCGCATTCATTCATATGGGCAAATTCATCGTTCGGTTGACGACCAGATGCCATGTTTACGGTAGACTTGAAGTGTTTATGGAAGAAAAGAGCTTATATCTGATTTCTTTCTACTACCTTCATCTTAAAACCAAGTTTTAGGGTTAGTCTCCTATAATATATCTTAAGCAACAAAAGCTTAAGAGCCTGTGTTCCAGAAAACGAATCGAGATCTTTATGGCTCATCTAATATGCCAATCAAGACCTTGAAGAAGGTGATCCACCATCGTCATGCAGGGTTTCTACATTCCAAATCTTGTGAGATGTCTATATGATAAAGATATTTGACAGATCTGGAACCGCATCCGACCTACTGCATGATGGTATATTACATGTCCTTCACTTACAGATCTGCGAGACCTGATTAGGTATTCTTCTTTGATTTGCGTTAGCCAACAAAGAAATGAACTCACATCTTTCGCAGTCATCTGAAACCCTAATTTGTTGCAGAACCTGCAAACCTATATATCAATCAGACTTACATGGTTATTTGTGTGTGCAGTCTCTCTCTTTTGTGCCAAATGTCCTGAGACCTATTCCTGGCACTTGGCTGCCACAAAGTTCCTTTCACTAAGAGCTCTCTCTTACTGCCAAAAACTGGTGTGCAATGAGGTTGTGATTCCCCTCATAGCTGTTAGCTATTCTTGTCACTTGCTTGAATCTAAACATGCAGTGAATATATATCCTTGTTAATTTATCATTGGAATGATATATTTTGACCAGAAATTAAAAATAAGTTTAACTGCTTTTGTTGGCTGGAAGATCAAGCAGAACACATGTATGTGTTTAGATTGTAAATCCAGGAAAGGTTGTGAAATTTCATGATGCGCTAACCCATAAGAAGGCTACAAGAATATGAAAAGATGTTCTTTAACCTCTCATTGTTTGCTGCAGGTTAATGTCCCAGGCAACAATTTACTCAATGTTGTCACAGTAAGATGTGGGCTCTGTGCTAATTTACTGTCTGTGGATCTCGAAGCATTGCTTGGGAAACTCCCACATCAGAGTTTTCAGGTTCAGTACCAAAATTTTGACTCTTCTTTACTTCCCCTTCTTTAACTTATGATCGAGGAATCACAAGTGCAGAATCACAACCCTGGTTCTCTCCACCCCCACATGGATTGTGGATCTTCCTCGAGATGCACCAGGCTATCAGCGATGAACTCAGTTGACTGTGTTCAACAGCAAACACACCCTATCCAACGTAAGCTTTTCTATGTTTTCCTAACTATTGTCATCGAAATTTACTTCTCAGTTCTTTAAGGTCAATCTTCTCAATACTGGCGTACTTATATGCATTGATCTTTACTTCTTCTGTATTGTGCAAGAAAGAACTTTTTTGTATCTGACTGATATCTGCATCTTCTTACTGTAAGCAGCAACCGAGAAGCGACGTGTTCCATCTGCCTATAACAAGTTCATCAAGTGAGTTCCTCAGATCCAATGGCCTCCAACTATTGTAGCTGTTCTAAATGTTTTAGAGGCACTACTAACCTGCCATTGGATTTCTCGTTATATGTATTAGTAACAATGTTTGGGTATTTCTTTCTGTTCAGGGAGGAGATACGGCGGCTGAAGGCAAAAGATCCCGACATCAGCCACAGGGAAGCTTTCAGCACTGCAGCCAAAAACGTAAGCAGTTGCATTGTTTATTAGATGTTTATGAAGAATGAAGTGATGACATAAAAGCAACTTCTAGGAAGTCAAATGCTCATTCATGCAGCTTTCTGTCGACTTACAGTGGGCACACTTCCCCGAAATCCATTTCGGGCCATCCGTGAAGGGGAGTAAACAAGTTTAGGTTGGAGGTCAATGCTGCCCAAACCGAGCGGAGGTTGTCATGCTCTTTGCAGCAGCAGTGTACGTTTAATGGTCTGTAGTTCTTTATGGAGTGTTCTTGTGGACGATGGTGTGAAGAAAGTAGTTGTACCACCGGTGGTCAGGGTTTGTAGGGTCGAAGAAACACTTGGCTGATGCCTCCTGTCAATAAGCAAGTTAACCTTCATGGCTTCTGAATACAATGCAGTATGCATATTTTGTATTGTGCTCTCATGACAAGTAAAAGATGAACAGCCAGAGTTAGGCACGCTTACCTCTTTGACATCAAAGATGAACTTAGCTACAGTGGGCAAAGCCAATTACATTCATATGGTCATGTTGCAGCACCATCCTCTTATTGCTTTGCTCACTGTAGCTCAGCTGAATCAACAAGACAAAATGATTATGAATAAAGAGTTTAAACTGAAAATAATATAAAACTTACCTTTTTTGCGTAATGATAGGTAAGATGAGATCAAATCTTAAACATGAAAATGAATTATTCGGGTAAACTCTGATGGCTAGCTAGCCCACCATGATCAGAGCTCATTAGAGAGGGATGGAGCAGTGATCATGAGAGAGAGGAGTGGATTGACGAAACTTTAGCATTGAGACTCTAATTTACATCCAATATAAGCATCGAGTGTATGGAGACGGTGGGTGGGTGCATGCACATTAAGATCGGATCGTGTACGTGAACTAGTGAGAGATGCATGCAGATTAAGATTACGTGTATGAACCAACCAGCAGAGGTGCATGTAAGTCTCATCGTGATGAGCAAATCATGGCTTTTATCTCTATACTGAAAACTTTCGTAGGAGAATTATGGATTAAATCATGGTTCTAAATATATAGGCTGTAATTAATTAATGTAGGGGAGTATTGTGCATATAACTATATCTATCTAAACTCTGAGTTTGGTTTAAGGTAGATAAAGCTTGTTTTTCTAGCATAGAATCTGTTGACCTTCTCATTGGTTTTGAGTTTATATTGTTCTAAGGAATTGGCTTTGATGGATGAAATTTATATTGCTTGCAAGAAAATATATTTGTGCAAGTTTTCTTTGCTGTATATTGGAATGTGATGTCCCATTTACAACAGCTAAAGCTTTTGAAGGTACAAAATATGTGTTGACAATGTTGTGATTGTTATGGAATGCAACTCTTGGAAGGTCTCCAACGCTCTGATGGCGGAAGGCTTAGCACTTTTGGATAGCTTAAAAAGGGTAGACAGAGGTCTTTTAGTTTTTTAAGGCAACATTGTGAATGATAGCTCTTTAGTGGTGAACGAAATCTATCACCACAGCTTCTTCGTGAAGGAAGA